TATATATATATATAGCTATATAGTATAACTATATATTATAGATATATAATATATATTATATATATAGTTATATCTCTAACAGATTTTTCGCAATTCACTGTATTTTCTCATTTTCCCACAATGATGAGCCTCCATAGCCACAGGTTCTATATTCACATATTCAACCACCATGCACCAAAAAACGCTGACTCTAAACCGCAGATGATTTAAAGTATATAGGTGTGTAGCTTATGTGTAAATTCTACAAATTATATAAAAAACTCCTTAAACATTTATGGATTCTGGTATCTCCAGGGCTCCTGGAACCAATCCCCTGTGGGTGCTGGGGGACCACTGTATCCTCTTGTAATTTTTAAATTTTATTTTTACTTTATTTGAGACAGGGGTCTTATACCATACCCCAGGTTGACCTGGAACTCAGACCACAGCCTCTCAGGCCTGGGACTGCAGGTGTGTGCCCCCAGGCCCAGCCACTTATTTTCAATAAGGGAGTAACTAATAAATGAAGCATCTACCTTGCTCTGAAGTTTTATTTAAAAGGTAAACAAGCCAGGTGCACACTCCTTTAATGGGGGGGGGGGAGATCTCTACGAGTTCAAGGCCAGCCTGGCTTCCAGAGCAGGCTCCAAAGCTACAGAGAAACTCTGTCTGGGGGTGGCGGGAGGAAGGTAAACAAGACTGGAGCTGGAGAGATGCTCAGTAGTTAAGAGCACTGGCTGTTCTTCCAGAAACCATGTGGTGGCTCATAATCTCTGTAGAGATATGACGACATCTTCTGGCCTCCGGCGCGTATTGTACACACTCATGTTGTGTAAAACATATGTGCAGGAAAAAAGATACATATAAAATTTTAAGTAAATAAAAGGTAAAACAAGAGGCTAGGTGTGGTAGTGCACACCTTTAATCTTAGCACATGGGAGGAAGAGGCAAGTGGATCTCTTAAGTTTAAAGCCAACCTGGTCTACACCTTGGCTACAACCTTGGTCTACAACCTTGGCTGGTTCTGGGCCAGCCAAGGGCTACATACTGAGACCATCTCCAAGAGCATGAGGTAAAAGACTGCCATCCCAGAGTTCATAAACCACTAAGGCAAAGCACTGAGGCAGAGTCAGGCGGATCCCAGATATTTGGAAAGCAAATTCCAGGAATCAGAGAGATGGGGGAAGAGGGGGCACGGGTGGAGGGGGGGGGACACGACTGCTTAGAAGACTCAAGGGACAAAGGCTCAGTAACTGAGCCCATGTCAGGAATCTAGTGAGGACAGAGGTCAGGGAGAAAACACAACCATTCATGTTTCTTCAGGCATCTAAGAGAACATGATGCTGGTCAGAAAGCAACACAGGCTATCAGCGGTCACGTCCGTGAGAATGCTGCAGATGCTGCCAACTGTGAAGAGCCAGAGTACAGCTCTGGGCAGAGGACGTGTGGATCCCAGGACAGCACAGACACAGCTGACTGCAAAATCCGTGCACAGATAAAAGCATGCAGTTGCAAAAAGCAGTCCTGTGAGCCCAGCCCAGCTGCTTTTAAAGGTTCTAGATGGAGAAGGTTCTAGATGGAGACATCAATAAAGAGCACACACCACTGACACTGAACGAGCAGGGTGGCGACCGCGGCTCAGGACGGGGGCTCAGGACCAGGGCCCACGGGCATCTCCGGCCTTTTCACTGTCCTGTTTTCCTCATGGTGACTGTCCTTTTCTTTTAGTCATGTACTTACTTACAGAGTCTTACACTAGTCTAGCCTTTGCCTCCTAAGGCTAAGATTTAAGACATGGGTCACCATACCCAGATAACAAAAACTTTTTTTTCTTTTGTTTTTTGAGAGGAAGGTTCTACGTGTAGCCCTGGCTGTCCTGGAACTCCCTCTGTAGATCCTGCCTCTGCCTCCCTAGTGCTGGGATTAAAGGTGTGCTCCTCCACCACTGCCCAGCACAAAAAATTTTTTTTTCCTGTTTTTGGTTTTTTTTTTGAGACAAAAGCTTTTATTAAAAAAAAATCTAAAAAACTCAATCGTAGGACAAGAAAAACAGTATTTCCTATGTATTATTATACATGCTAGGTTCTATCTGGAGCGTTGGCCCCATTCTAAGGGGCATTCCAACAAGGTTCTGACCAGGGCACTTACTCTGTATATAAGTTTAAACCAAGTCACTCGTGTGAACGTTCAAAAAGCCAGATTTCCGTTTAATTCAATGAAACCTTTAGAAGACTGAACCAAGGGCTGGAGAGATGGCTCAGAGGTTAAGAGCACTGACTGCTCTTTCAGAGGTCCAGAGTTCAATTCCCAGTAACCACATCACAACCAGCTGTAATGAGATCTGGTGCCCTCTTCTGGCCTGCAGCATACATGCAGACAGAATACTGTATGCATAATTAATAAATAAATCTTAACTAATAAATCTTACCAAAAAAAAAAAAGGACAGAACCGCAGGGCGGTGGTGGTGCATGCCTTTAATCCCAGCGCTCAGGAGGCAGAGGCAGGCAGATGTCTGAGTTTAAGGCCAGCCTGGTCTATAGAGTGAGTTCCAGGATAGCCAGAGGTACACAGAGAAACCTTGTCTTGTGGGGGGGACGGACCACAAGATGAGTGAGTTACTGGCAGGCCTGGGAAAGCAGGCAGTGGGTCTCCTAGGAGGCTCTCAAGGGTTCATGTTCTTATCTTAACCCCTGGCGAATGACAGCCTTCCTGTTAGAAAACGCAGGGACACTGAAGCAGGGCAGAGTGCAAAGGAAGTGAAATGAAGATGGTCCAGCATGTCCTAGCCACTTCTCTCTCCCTCTGTAGTCACTGACCCTGGACTCAAACTGACTGGGCTCCCGGTGCTTACTCAGTTAAAACAACGGTTCTCAACTTAGGGGGTCAAACGACCATTTTACAGGGGCCGCATATCAGGTAGCCCAGAAACCAGATGTTTACATTATTATTAATTACAGTAGCAAAATTAGTTATGAAGTAGCAATGAAAATAATGTTGTCAATGAGGTCACCATAATAAGAGGAACTGTATTAAAGGGTCATAGGGTTAGGAAGTAGAGACCCACGGAGTGAGAGGTTAAAGCAGAGCCTATGACATAGGCTGCAGGCTATCAGTGCTCCCGGTTGCACCATTTATAGTTTGGTTTCATTTTCCTCTCCAGCTGGCCCTTGAAATACTTCTTTGGTCTAAAACCACCATAAGTGTGTCTCCTATTATCACTGAGAGCTTCATGTGGCCCCTGGGCTGCAGACCTGGGCGATCAAAACAGAGCCATTTCTCTGCCACTCCGGAACTGGAAAGAGAGAGCTATAGAAAAGAGAAGCACTTCCAGTTGGTATGTGGGAAGGAAAGCGGTTAGGAGAGGAGCGCACAAACGTCACCATAGCTCTCTGAGCAGGCTCATTTAACTTGCAGCCATGTGTTTAAAATGTGTGATGTGGATGGAGTCATGCTTAACTTCCCTCCATCCTAGTCAAAGCACCGCTAAGAGGGACATGAAGCCACAGAGGGACTCTTAGAATTCTACACCACTTCCACCATGCTAGTTTTGTTTTTGTGCTAGGAGTTGGACCAGGGCCTCACACATGACGGGCAAATGCTCTGCCCCGAGCTATCTCCAGGACATCCAGCACGGTAACAGTACCACTGGCCTGTAACAGCAGTTCATAGCTGATCACTGAAACCTACATTTATTTAGCAATACGGGCAATAGGGATTGCTGCATATTCCTTCTTTTTACATTTGTTTTGTATGTGTTTGTTCACATGCAGGCATGCACAGTGGCATGTGAAGTTAGAGAACAATGTGGAGTAGTTGCCTTGGTCTTCAGGCACGGCAGCAATCACCTCATCCACATCATAACCCTTACCAAATATTCCTGAAAGAAAAAAGTGCATGACTCTCAATGGCATCATTGATCTTATCATTAATTCACTTCAGCTAGAACTTCTGACATGATCAAATGACGCAAGCACAGTGACGAACACCTCAGTCCTGAGGAAAAGCCCTGAGGGGGTTGAACAAGGCAGCAAGGAGGAAGGAGCATAGGGTGCAGAAGGACCATAACAGAACCCCAAGACTGACAGAAAAGCACCGAGCTTCTAGACTCCCACCATCGGTCTCCACCCTCCTTGGCCAAACTCGGTCCCCTCCAGGCCACCATCCACACCCAGGTCACCACAGACCTCTTTGCGCAGACCTCTCTTGTTGGTCGCCTCCCCCTGCAGATTCCCGCAGGCTCCTCTTCCTTGCCACTACTTAAATACTGGCATTCTTCAACAAGTGTCCTTCTCACCCAAGACCCCTTCCATGGGGGCTGTGTCCATTCACAGGGCTTCAGACACCTTTGCAGAGGCCGACAGTCCCAGGTCTGGGCCGGCCCCGCCCCCTGTGGGCCTTCACTGGGCCAGCCGGACACTCCCAACCTGAGCATTCCCTCGGGGCTTTCCCCTCCCCAGCTTCCACAGGCCTGCTCCTTGCTTATCTTCACTGTCCTTCCCTCACTTCGGGCTTTTCTGTGTTTCAAAGGAATGCTTGCACCTTTGGACCAGCTTTCATTTTCCTCCCTAGCAAAATTTATGGCCAGCCATTTTGTAACAGGTATATCATGTTCTTGGGGTCCTTCCTCTGCTAGCATTCGGCACCCACTGCCGTGATCATGGGTCTCAGGTATGGGATGGGTGTAAGGACTGGCTCTTCAGTGAGCTATGTCTGCACTGAATTGCTGACCCCAGACCTGCTTCCTAGTACAGGGACAGCTGCGGTTCCTGGGGAGAGGGGTGAGCATACAGGAATCTTTGGAATGTAGCTTCTTTCTGGTAGTTCTAATCACGGCAGATCTGTGAGCAGCACCCTCCCGATAGATAACTAGCTCCTCACGATTCCCCTCGTAGAAGTGTCCTTCCTACTTAGTAGTCCCATGGCTCTGGTCCTTGCTTAAATCACCCTCACTCAGCCTGCACTTCCACCCACAGCCTCCAGAGCAGCTTCCAGCCTCCAGCCCGAGTGCTCCCGGAAGACTACCTTTGTAAACCTAGAATCCTAACCAGCCACTCCCCGGGCTACACCCTTCCATAGTTTCCAAAAGCTCTTTTGATAAGTTTAGAGAAAGCACTGAGCCTCCTCCCTATCCCTCCCTCCTCTCCGGTTTCTTTCTCTTCTGGGAGCCTAAAGTCTGAGCTCTCCCTCTGGCCATTTATGATCTCTGGGTGTCTCACACTTACTCTCTAGAAGCAGATGACCTTGTGGGTGCCAGTGAACACTCCCTGGAGCACCCTTGGCAACGCTGGCCTCACCACAGGGTAGGGAGCAGAGCTCTGTCCTGGGGGCGGGGGTGTCTTTCTCTGGTAGACGGCCTTGGGACTGCATGGTTTAACAGGAAGGACCCTAGCCTGGTTATCAAGCTGTCCTAGGCTAGAAGGGCTCAAAGTTCACAACCAGACCCTAGGCTATTGTTTTTTTTTTTTTTTTTTTTTTTTTTTTTTTTTTTTTTTAAACTTTGCAGCTATGGCTTCCTTGGCCCTCCACTATGGCATTTCCCCAGCAGGAATTTTACTCTGTGCAAGCTGCCCTTCTGGTGGCTATTTTGGTCAGTATGACTGGGCCAGAAGCCAGTAAAGCAGTTTCTAATGCCAGGCTTTCCCAGTTGCCTAGCCTGGAAGAATTCAGAGCTGGTGAGGGAAAAGCAAACCATGGCTGGTTTTAAAGAACAAAACTGGCCCTCCGGGGAAACTGGTGAATCAGTGTGGATGAAGAAGGGTGGAGTGAGCTGTGGCAGACTCCACACTGCCTGGACAACTGGACATCTAGCAACCACAATACAGGAAGATGATGCTCACACGCCTTTCATTGCAGACCGACTCTGGGAAGACGCTGCTAAGGCCATAGGCCAAGGGAGAGAACAGAGATCTTCTCCACCCTCAGCTCTGACCCAAGGGAGCCACGACCCTGAGACTTACACTTCCTTAATGAGCTGTGATTCCCAACCTCTCCTCTCAAACAAAACTCCTCATTCACCTGTTCAGATAGTTCCTCCTATGGTTCAACTTCATTTTTTTTTTTGTTTTGTTTTTTTGAGACAGGGTTTTCTCTGTAGCTTTGGAGCCTGTCCTGGAACTAGCTCTTGTAGACCAGGCTGGCCTCGAACTCACAGAGATCCGCCTGCCTCTGCTTCCTGAGTGCTGGGATTAGAGGCGTGCACCACCACTGCCCGGCCAACTTCATTTTTTTTCACATTTCAATCATATTTTATTTGTATATGCATGTGTGCTTATTTGTGCATGGCTACATACATGCCGTGACTAACATGTGGAGGTTCTTTCTTCCATCATTGGAGTCCTGGTGGTTGTCAGACTAATCCTGATATGACAGGCACTGGGCAAACAGCTCCAAGCACTGAGCTAACCTGCAGGCCTCCAACTTAACTTTTCAGTGCTATAGAGTATACGAAAGAATACTCATAGTTATGTTTTCTATTTTTAGTACAGTATTCAGTATCAACATTTTACTAAAAAAATACTTTTGTGAGCTGGGCAGTAGTGGCACAGGCCTTTAGTCCCAGCACTCAGGAGGCAGAGGCAGGTGGATCTCCATGTGTTTGAGGCCAGCCTGGTCTACAGAGAGCATCCCAGGACAGGCTCCACAGACACAGAGGAAACCCTGTCTCAAAAAATATACATACATACATACATACATACATACATACATAAAGCAAAACTTTGTGGTAAATGATTTTGTCCAACTCTTAGCAAACCTAAGAGGTCTCTGTTTTTGAGTCCAAGTTGGGCTCACAATCACTACAGAACCAGGGATGACCTTGAATTCCTGATCCTCCTGTCTCCACCTCTGGAATGCTATGAATACAGATATGCATCACTATGCCTAGTATTCTTTTATTTCTTTCTGTTTGGGTGAAAGCTTCACCTCAGTCCCGGGCACCCCTATATCTCTCTAAAGAGTCTGTAATGTTTGGGTGGAAAGTTCCATCCCAAGCCCCCTCCTCTGGGAGTTGCCTCAGTCCAGACTCCACCTCCAAGAAAGCCCGCCAGTGACCCCTCCCCAGAGAGGCTCAAGACTACTCCCACCCACAGGATATTTAAATTGTCTCCCAGAGAACAAACACGTGGTTTCCTAGTTTTCCTTCCCATCTCCTCTCTGAGGGCCTGGAAGCCAGAAGCGCTAGTAGCCATTAAACCTGGGCCTTTTCTAATTTGGTTTGATTTGTTCTGATCTGGATTATTGCATCAGTGGAGAGGTTTATTGGGGAGCAAAAACTTTTCACTTTTTTATTTGTTTGTTTGTTTTCAAGACAGTTTCTCTGTGTAGCCTTGGCTGTCCTGGAACTAGTGAGAGATCAACCTGCCTTGGCCTCCCAAGTGCTGGGATTAAAGGTGTGCACCACCACTACCCAACACGCCTGGATTTCAAACCCAGGGCTACATTCAAGCTACACAAGCATTCTTCCAATGAAACTACAGCTCCCCCCCCCCCCCCAATCAGGCAGTAGCAGCACAAGCCGCCTTTAAACCCAGCACTTGAGAGGCGGACCTCTGTGAGTTCAAGGTCAGCCTGGTCTACAAGAGCTAGTTCCAGGACAGGCTCCGAAGCTACAGAGAAATCCTGTCTCAAAACGAAAGGAAGGAGAGAAGGGAGGGAGGAGGGGAGGGAGGGAGGGAAGAAGGAAGGATAGAAAAACACCCCACACACACTATAACATTTAGAAGGTTGGGTATATTAAAATGTATGTTTGACTTCCAATCTTTTCAACTCACTACAAATTTATCCAACAAACAGCCCAAGTCGAGGAGGGTCTATTCTCGCTGATCCTAATTACTCCCAGTAGTCATTCTTGAACTTGACTCAACCACATTGTACCACCCTCATGCTACTCAAATTGCTAATGCTACCAGACTTCGTGTTACTGAATCTAATTGCCAACTCCTAGACCTGAGCCCTTATCTTTTGATCTAACAGTTCTTGCTCCTGGAAACACTCTTTGGTTGATTCCCAAGACAGCTACTTCTAAGTCTCTGATGGTCCTCCCCTTTCAAATTTTCAGCAGCTAGGCCATCCAGATTTCAGGAGTTGTATTCTTCCTGTCTATACCTATTTTCTGTGCAATTTCATTTACTCTCATGGCTTTAAAAACCAATGCCACATAGATACTATATAATGACGGTGGCCTGAGTTTGTCTGCAGACTTTGCCCTCTGTGAGCTGCTCCCTTCACTTGGACGTATTAGAGGGTATCTTGACTCCAGCCAGCACTACACTGTGTGTCTGACAGCTTCCATTTCCATGCTTCCTGCAAACATTCCCCACCGCAGAGAGTGCTAACTCCGTCCTTCCAGCTGCTCAGCCTTGAATTATCCTTTTGTTTTTCTCACATGTGAGAGCAAACACGTCTAGCTCCAACTTCTGAACACATTCCCAATATCACTGCTCTGCCATCACCTTGACCCATGTGTGTGCCTAGCCAACCCAGAAGGCCACGGAGCTGTCCTTCCAACCTTGACCCTGTCAGTCTGTTCCCAACACGAGACATCACTCTTCTATTCAGAGGCCCTCACCAGCATCCCATCGGAGTCAAAGCGCCAACCATCACACACATCACGCACAGGCGTGTGGCCTGACTGCCTACCCTTCCTCCCTCACTGCTTTCCTTGTGCTGTCTTCCCACAGCGGCTTGAGTTTACCCTCCCCTCACTCTAGACAGAACTGGTTCAACCCCTTCCACTATTTGAGGGCTTCATGAAGTCACTTTCTCACCAAGACATCCCTGAACATCCTATATAAACTGCCTCTCCCACACATTTTCCCTACCTCCCTCTCTTCTATTTTTATCCTTGGACTTATCACTTTCCAACAAGTACTTATTAGTTACTTAATTACTGTCTCATTAAGAATGCAAATTTGCTGGGTGGTGGTGGCGCACGCCTTTAATCTCAGCACTTGGGGGGCAGATCTCTGAGTTTGAGGTCAGCCTGGTCTACAGAGCTAGTTCCAGGACAGCTAGGGCTACACAGAGAAACCCTGTCTCAGAAAACAAACAAAACCAAAAAAGAACCAAAGGGGGGAGCCAGCAGTCATGGCGCACGCCTTTAATCCCAGCACTCTGCAGGCAGAGGCAGGCAGATCTCTGTGAGTTCGATAGCCTGGTATACAAAACAAATTCCAGAACAGCCAAGGCTTCACAGAGGAACCACGTCTCGAAAGCAAAACAAACAAACAAACAAACAAAAAAAAAGCCAGCAGAAGAACCAAAGGAGGGCTGGGATGTGGTTCAGTTTCACCAAGCTGGGATTCCATCCCCAGTACCCAATAAAACAAATGTGGTGGTGCCTGTGTGAGCTGGAGCAGGTCAAACACTTCAGTGCAAGCAACTCAACCGCACAGCCGGCACTACAGCTCCAGGCTACACTTTGATACCCTTTCCAGGTAGCACATACATAGGGAACATTAGCTAGGACCGTGAGAGCATCTGAATGTGAACATTTCCGGTTTGTCCCGTGCTCAATTCTTTTCCGCCACACCTGACTGTTGCCACTCCAATTTTGCTTGTGGCCTGGGAATCAATGTGGGGGCAGTAGGGAATGATGGGAACATTCCAGCATGATGGAAGCGTCCCAGGAAACCATGTAAAGCTTTTCTGCTTAAGAATACTAGGACTCTGGGTTGAAGAGATGGCTCAGACGTTAAGAGCACTGGCTGCTCTTCCAGAGGTCCTGAGTTCAGTTCCAGCAACCACATGGTAGATTACAAGCATCTACAATGAAATCTGGTTCCTTCTTATGGCATGCAGGCAGAACACTGCATAGATAATAAGTAAATCTTAAGAAAAAAATACTGGGACTCAGAATTCTGTTGTACAAAGAGGAGAAATAAAAGCAAGCGTTGCCCCCACACACCAAGAATCTCCTTATGCATGGACATGTTGCCCTCTCTGCTTTGGCACTGTGTGAGTCACGCTCTGCGCTCTCCGGGCTTCTGAAATGAGTAGTGACTT